CATGGAGGAGGGGATTTGAGGATATTCTGGCCTGATGGTCTCTCCAGGCTGTATGAGGCTGGAGGCATCAGTTGCCTGGAGGGAGTTCTAGCAGGTGAGCTGGAGGGAAGCTGAGGTGACCAGAAAGGCTTGGCATAGATGGGTGGTAAAGGGAGAGTGTTGCTGCCAGAGGTGATGAGCAAGACTACTTAGGGCCTAGATTCTGAGGTTCATCAGCCAGCAAGTATTGATGGAAGAATGTGCTTGGTACCAGGCTGTACGGTGCTGGCACTGAGAGGACAGAGATGGAGGAATGTGACACAGTCCCTGCCCTCATGGGAGTTTCATGCGGCCGGTGGGGAGGATGGGGAGGCAAACGCTTGGAGCCCGGGGCAATTCCTGCTGACCTAAGCAGGCCCCACAGGCTGTGGGCCAACAGATCAAGGAGAAAGTCTAGTTCTGTGCAGGGAGTAAGTGGGGATAGAAAGACTTAACCAAAAAGAAATTCCTGGAAGAGTATTAGGGACACACAGAATCAAGGGAGAAGGCTGGAGAACTGGGCAGAAATCTAGACATTTCTGGAAGACCAGAAGGCAGGAGCTACAAGGACAGTTTAGAGCAGGAAGAGGCTGATCAGGATGCTCCATTGCTCGGGTGCATGAACTCATTTTCAGGCTCTTTCTCTCTTTTTTAAAAAATATTTTATTTATTTATTCATGAGAGATAGAGATAGAGAGAGAGAGAGGCAGAGACATAGGCATAGGGAGAAGCAGGCTCCATGCAGGAAGCCCGATGCAGGATTCGATCCCAGGACTCCAGGATCACTCCCTGGGCTGAAGGCAGACACTCAACTGCTGAGCCACCCAGGTGTCCCATTTCAGGCTCTTTGTAACCCTGCTCGAGAACCCATTTCCAGAGGTGGGAAGTACTCACTTGGTCTCTTGTGGCCCAGGAGAGATGGAGCCACGGACAACAGTCTCAAGAGGCTAGACTCAACCAGAAGAAGTCATCCCTTAAAAATAAATTGGGGAAGGGGGTGCAGTTAGGAAGAATAGCACCCACCTGGACCCTGGAGCCAGAGTTCCCAGGTGGAAATCCTGGCTTCTGCACTTACAGCTATGTGACCTTGGACAAACTTCTTGCCTTCTTTTTGCCTCCATTTCTTTATCTATAAAAGGAGAACATAATGGTACCTTCTTGTAGAATTAATTGTGAAGGGTCGCCTGGGTGGCTCAGCGGTTGAGCATCTGTCTTTGGCTCAGGACATGATCCTGGAGTTCCAGGATCGAGTCCCACATCAGGCTTCCTGCTTGGAGCCTGCTTCTCCCTCTGCCTATGTCTCTGTCTCTCTGTCTCTCTTGCTGTGTCTCTCATGAATAAATAAATAAAATCTTAAAAAAAAAAAAGAATTAATTGTGAAAATCAAAATAAGTTAATTCATGTGATCATTTAGAATCGTGTCTCTCACATGATACACATTTAGTAAGGCTGCTGGAGTAATAATTGTAAGTGCTTATTATTTGTTATTATTACTAAAGGAACCATAGGTGGTATATCAATGTGCCTGGCAGGTGGAGGAATGATGAGGGATGGATCTGGTGGGTAAGTAAGGCTTTAGGAGTTGGTATAGCCTAGTAAGTTTAATATGATCCCCTAGGTAATTGGGAAAGCCATGGAAGGGTTTTTTTCTAAAATAACTGTCACAAAAAATTTCAAAATATATAAAAGTTGAAATAACAGCACAATGTCTACCCTTTTTCCTGCCATCTAAACACAATCTTAACATTTCACTACATTTGCTTTATCTTTCTCACCCTGTTTTTTCTCTTTTTGTGGAACCATGGGAAAGTGAGTTGCAGACTTGATGAAACATCACCTCTAAATACTTCCTTCCACTTCCATCTCTGAAGAATGATGTTCTTCCACACAACACATTGTTATTCTACCTCAGAAAATTAATAATTGAAAATAATTCACAATATCCTGTCTTGTCCAGCTGTGGAAAGATTTTTAGTTGGGCATTAGACAAGGCATTGTGGTGGCCATGGAACATGGCTGGAAGGAGGCTGAGGGCAGGTAAATACCCTCCCAGTAATGCAGGTAACAGATGATGAAGCCTAAACTAGAGTGATGGGGGGTTCACAAGGGGTGTTTGAGGAACCCATAGGTCTCCCGTTGAACATGGTGGCAAGGATGTTGGATCACTGAAGACTTTCAGGAGGCAGTGCCAGACCTAACAGTTGAGTGTTGAAGGATCAGACCTGCAGGAAGCAGATTGTAGGCAAGAGTGGGAGGATTCATTGGTCACATGAATATTAAACATCTACTGTCATGGTTAGGTTTATGTGTCGACTTGACTGGGCCACGGGGTGCTCAGATGTTGGCTAGACATTATTTTGGGTGTGTATGTGAGTCTGTTTTTGAATGAGGTTAACATTTATTTATTTTTAATTAATTAATTAATTTGAGAGTAAGAGTGGGAGCGAGGGGTGGAGGGAGAGAGAGAGAGAAATAATTTTTTTTAAGATTTTATTTATTTATTTATGAGAGACAGAGAGAGGCAGAGACACAGGCAGAGGGAGAAGCAGGCTCCATGCAGGGAGCCTGACTTGGGACTCGATCCTGGGTCTCCTTGGGACTCGATCCTGGGTCTCCAGGATCACACCCTGGGCTGAAGGCAGTGCTAAACCGTTGAGCCACCAGAGCTGCCCTGAGAGAGAATCTTTTAAGCAGACTCCACACTGAGCACTGAGTCCAACCTGGGGCTCTTTCTCACAACCCTGAGATCAGGACCAGAGCCAAAACCAAGACTCAGATGCCTAACTTACTGTGCCACCCAGGAACCCCTGGATGAGATTAACATCTACATCAGGAGACTGAGTAAAGCAGATTGCCCTCCCTAATGTGGGTGGGCCTATCCAAACACTTGAAGTCCCGAATAGAACAACAGTCTGACTGTCCCCCAAGTGAGAGAGGATTCTCCTGGCTGATGGCCTTCAGCCTGGGACATTGGCTTTTCCTGGTTTAACATTGACTCCAACTGGGACATCTGTTCTGCACATTTCAAACTTGCCAGATTTAATAATCATGTGAGCCAATTCCTTATAAATAATGTATGTATAGGAATATAACATATATATATATATATGTATGTTTGTATACATACACAGGCTGTCATGGAGTGTGCCACTCAGAGCTCTGGTTGCTTGGACTCTGAGGTGAATGGTGGGAGATGTGATGAGGGGTAGGCATGGGCCTTGGAGGAAGGAATATGGGCCAGTGCTGTCCAAACTTTAGTACCACTCTCATGATTTATGTCATATACACATTTCAACTGCATTCTTATTTGCTTGATACATTTAAAAATATCAGTTTTATGCCCATTCCTTTTAAAAACTGTTTAAGCCACAATATGTATGAAATTCTGGGATTTTTTTTCATTACACATGAAAATAAATATAAAATCATTATAATAAAGAGACATTGGAAAAAAAAGAGACATTGGTCCATATACTGCTTAAAATAATTTCATATTTTTCCTATATTTTGGGAAAGTTGTCATGAATTACAAGGGTAGGGGTGGATATCAGATCTGGGATTTTAGGGAAACATGCCATGCTGAGATTTAGTTTTAGAAGGATTCATTGGCTGTTGAGTGATAAATAGATTGGAAGATAAGGAGACCTGCTAGGAATTCTGGTAGTTGTCTATGGGAGCTCTGATAAGTCTGAAGCAAGGATGTGCAGTGGGAATGGGGGGGAGGGACAGATTTGAGGGGCATTCAGAGGTAGAATTTGATAGGACTTAAGAGATAGTGACATGGAAGAGGAGTCTGGGTTGGCTTGGTGATGCTTTTGGTTTGGTTGCCTGGGAAGACAGAGGTGCCTTCACAGAGGAGCCTAGGAGGGGCTAAAGTCAAGTGCAAAGAGCAGGATATGCCAAGCAATCATTAGGGGTGGCAGAGTTTGACTACAATTTTAGCAAGGATGCTGTGAAGTTCATTGCCCCTTAATAGCAAACCCACACTTTAAATTAAATTAAAACATTTTTAGTTTAACTCTTCTGAGTGGACCCACACATGCATTCTCTGCTACTTATTACTGAGAATGACTAAGTATTATAATTGAGCTGAAAATAATCTCCCGCCCATACTTGCTGGGTTGGTTTCTAAGTATTGCTTGGGTTTTTATCTACCGAAACAAAGTTGTGCTCTTTCCAAATGTTAATTTTGAAGACTGCAGATGGTAACCATCTGTTACACGACTAGCATTTTACAATATTTGATTAGCACTTTATATAGTTTGGGGAAGCCTGCCAGTGGAGTCTGCCCATCAGGTAGGGACTTTGGTGTTATGTCCTCTGTGGTGGCCCTGGAAGGTCTTTGCCCCCATTGTATGGGGTTCCCCTCTGGATTTTTTTTGGGGGGGCCTTTAGTACAGTCGTCAGACTAACAGGCTGATATTCGTGGCAGGAGAACTGTAGGGGCCTTGCCCTGTTTGCACTCTTCCTTAAAGTTGGAGCCATGTCCATCAGTTAGGACTCTTTGAGTTGCTAATGACAAAAAAACAAACCCAAGTTGCTTTGGCAAAGGGTATTAATTGGCTCAGGTCACTGAAAAGTCTAGAGGTGGGACTGCCTTCAGGTGGATAGTTGTAGGGTTCCAGTGAATTCTTCAGACTTGATTCCGCGCATACTATTAGCACCACCTGCTGCTGTGTGGCTCCAGTCTCAGGCTTCCAGAGGAGGCAAGATGAAAGAGGAGGAAATCGCCTCAGGGGCAAGTCTAGAGGGAAAGAACTAAGGCCTTCCTGTGACCCCTGCAGAGGTGGAGCGATGTGCCCTGATTGGACCACTTCCATCACATGTCCATCTGTAAACCTCCCCCCCCTCCCAATCCCTGCAACCCCGTGCATGCAGGGCTCTGATAGGCCGGGTCTAGGGAGAGGTGGAGCCAGACCTTTGGTGGTTCTCCTCTGCTGCGGGTAGTCAGCTGGTTTCTCTGTCTTGCAGTGCAGTGTCTTCCCGCCCGTCTCCCCTACTCTGCGGGTCCCTGACACCTCCTCACCCACCACCGGAAGTTGGTGCCAGGATGAGACTGTGCATCTGGTCTTTGGTCCTGGCAGGCCAGCTCTGGACTGAGACTTCTGCAGGACTGACTGCCCTTCCGAGCCCGGGGTCTGTGCTGTGTGGGGTGTGGCACAAAGGGGACCTGGCCTCCACCTTGTATTTGACGTGCCTCTCAGAGTTGTGGGGGTCAGGGCCAAGGATTGGCTTGCTGCCTTAGAAGTAATGCTTTGTGTTTTCCAGGGACAGAGGGTCTTGCAGATGGCCCCACTCCCAGGAGCAGAGCTGGTCCAGAGGCCACTGCAGCTCTACCGGTACCTGCTGCGCTGTTGCCGGCAGCTGCCAACCAAGGGCATCCAGGAGCATTACAAGCATACTGTCAGGCAGGTGGGAGCAGGGTATACAGGGCTAGGAGTGGGGGTACCCTAAAATGGGGGGCCTGCCTCAGCGTTGGGGACCAGGGTTGGGGGCAGAGGGCAGGATAATGTTTTGGGTGGTGGTGGAGGGGAGGGATGGCAGTCTCGTAAAAGGCCACCAAAAACCACAGCCCCACTCCTTTCTCTGATTTCTGCTCAGAAGACAGAAGATATGTGATCTAGCCACCAGCTTGGTGCCAGGACTCAAATGAGGCAGCTAAATGGATAGTTAAAATAGAGTATAGGACAAAACATCATTTTGACAGGCATACCTGCCAATAATGCACAGCCTGAATATACTCATGAAAAAACATCAGGTAAATCCAGATGGAGGGATCATCTCCCACATAGTTGGCCTCTGCTCATCCAACATGTCAATGTCATGAAGCACAGAGAAAGGCAGTCCTGCTCTGCTTTCAAGAGGAGTAAAGAAGTGTGACTGCTAAATGTAATGAGTGCATTGGATTCTGGACCAGAAAAAAAAAGTTATTAAAAAGTACATTGTTGGAGACATTCATGAAATTGAATATGGGCTGCAGATGAGATGATAGTATTGTATTAATGGGTTATGTCATCTCCTCATTAAAACACTGAAGCATTTGGGGATCAAGGGCATGATGTCTGCAACTTTTAAATGCTCCCAGATAATTGAGTACAAACTCACATAAAGAGAGAATGATAAAGCAAATATGGTAAGATGTTCACAATTGGTGATTCTGGTAGCCAATTCGTTCATATTCTTGCAACTTTTCTGTAGATGAGAAATTATTTCCAAATAAAAAACTAAAATGAATACAAATATAATTTGAAAAGGAAAAAAAAAAGGCGTAGCAATAGACAGGCTGTGAAAACATGGAGGAGGGAGCAGCTAGCTGTCTGAGGGCATCAGGGAGGACTTCTCTGAGAGTGAGCATTTGAGGTGTTCCTAAAGACAACTAGGACCTGTGGGGTTGAGAGTGAGGGGACAGAGGAGGTGCCAGGTACCCTTGTGAAGGGCCCTGGGTGCCACACCAATGAGCCCGAATCTCACGTTCCTTCTCAAGGGTGAACATCTGGTCAAAGGGCACCAAATTGCTCAGCACTGGGCCTGCCTAGAGTTTCCAGTCACTACCTCCACTGCCCACTGTCTACTTGGCCTTCCAGCATGGGCCTGGAGAAGCCCTGTTCCTTCCTATTGTGCAGCCTGGTGCAAGCAGCTCCCCCAGAGGAGCAAATGAAACTGAGATATGAAAGTTTCCTTGGACTCCTGCTGCCTGATAATCTTTGGGCCCAGCTTGATTTGGGGTAACTTGGGGACCAGTCTTCCATTTTGTAGCTGCTCTGCTAGCATGAGGACAGCCTGTGTAGTTGAATGGACCAGGATTTGAATGCTGGCGCTATGCACAGTGGCCAGTTAGGGCATCCAAGCCTCTGTATCCTCATCTGTAGGTGGTATTGTTCTGTCTCTTGAGGGGTAAGAACCATGCTGAGTGGAAAGTAGCCACAGTGTATCTGGCCTATGACTGGGGCTCTGAAGATGCTGGTCCTGTGAATTTTGCCTTGTATCTTTTTTTATGCTTAAACTTCTAGAGTTTCCGGGTTCATTCAGATGAAGACAATCCTGAGAGAATCCAGCAGATTATTAAAAGAGCCATAGAAGATGCAGACTGGATCATGAACAAAGTAAGTGCTTGGCTCCCAGCTCCACCTGCCAGCTAGGGGATTGACAGCTGTAATCTCCGTGGCCACCAGGGGTCACCCCTGCCCCACGCTTGAGCCCAACCAGTGCTGCAGAGGCACCGGGTGCCACCAGCCAGCTGCTCCTCTCCTCCAGAAGCCCAGACATGGTGGCAGATGCCCTTCTGGTTGTGTCTGTTTTCTGCAGGGGTGGGGAGTTCTCAGTCCCTAAAAGCAAACAGTGCTGAAGAAGCTGAGATAGAGTAGCAGAAAGAAGGAAGAGAAAGGGCTTTCTGGAAGCAATAGTGCCAGAACTAGCAGCAGCCTTGTGGTACCTCAGACAGGGAAGCTGTCTTGGAGTGTAGTGAGCTCCCCATTTCCAGGGTTCTTCATACTGAAGCAGGGTTCTTGAGGAAACATTCAAGTATCTATTTTGGTAGAGGAAGGGAAGGATCAGAAATACAGACTAATTTGCTGGTCCTTATCCATTGGTGTTAGAACAACCTAGACAGCTGGGTGGAGCATGCTCCACCCTCCATCCTTCTAAATCAGAATCTCCAGATGTGAGGTCTGGGGTTCATTTTTAAAAGTCAGTGATTGGATTGAATGGCTTCTGAGGGTCCTCCTCTATCTGAGATTTTTTTTTTTCCTTTGAACTAAGACTCGGCTTAAAGAATAGGATGACATGCCTGTGTTCCCTTCTGATGCTCCCGTGTCTGTCTTATGTGCACCCTCTTACCCCGTCAGATTCCTTTTCCATTAAAGAAGAAAGGGGGTCCCAGTGCCAGCTAGAGATCTGACTGTCTGGTGCCTGCCCTGCTACCTCTGAGAAGCCCCTGCAGAAAGCAGCTAACACCTGCAAGAACATGGTTCCCGGGACTTTCTGGGTCCTCCCTCCCCCACTGCCTTCCCTCACCCACTTCTAATGATCTCTGTCTTACAGTATAAAAAACAAGACTGAGGCTCTAGGGCCTAGAGAACGAGTTGCCCTGAAGACATTGACGTTGAGAGACCTCGCTTACAGAACTACTCAGCAGTGGCACTTTTGGAATATGCATTGGCCTGTTGGCCTAGAGCAGGAAATCAGGAGTAGGAGAAGCTGACTCTTGCTCACCTGGCTCTTCTTGCCATGTTTGTTTTCCCCAGCATCCTTTACATTTGCTTTTCTGGCCAGTTGCCGTGTGGACTTGGGGATACTGTGTTTTGTCACTTTGCTCTGAAGGTGATGCATTTATTCTGGATGTTGTCCTTTGAGACCCAGAGTGGGCATCCCCTCAGGCTGTGCTGAGAGGACAGGGTGTGGGTTTTCGAACCAGTCGGGTGTGGATTTGAATGTCAGTTCTGCAACTTTTCAAGGGTCTTGCCTTTGAGCTCAGATTCCTCCTTTGTGAAGATTAAACATGATGATGTTGAAGAGCTTCATGCAGGATGTGATACATGGTAATGCAAGTAAATGTCCCCCCCGGGAGCGCCATCCTCCACCACTCCTTCCTCTGGACTACGGTGCTCCATGCATCTCTCTGGCACATTCCTCATCGGGCCCAGGTTGTTTGTGATCTTGGCCTGCCCTGCTTGGTGTCCCTGAACTTCAGGGTCCCACCATGCCCAGCAGTCCATCAAGCAGCCACTCCTCTAGGCTTGGTGGGAAGTCCTTCCTTGAAGTCCAGTCCTTGCCTTTATGGAGTTTCTTGTGACCATGAATTGGTGAAATGCAGGCTGCATGGAACAAGGAAGAAAGGCAGAGCAGCTACGGCAGACGCTAAAGCACACAGACCTCTTGTGAACCTGCAGTCTGTTCTGCTGGCCCTTCCCTTCTTTGCCACCATCTTGGGAGGAATAATGGAGGTCGGGAGCAAGCAAGGAGGGAGGTGGGGAGCAAGCGTTCCTGTGGGTTATGGTGAGCCTGAAACCCTGTGGAGAGACCGACTGGATCGTGTCCCAATTCCATAGGATTTGCTTTTGGGAACTTACCTGGCCTACTTCAGCCTTGGTTTCCCCATCTCCTGTGGAGTGGTGCCCACACCTACCTGCCAGGGTGGGAGTGAGGACTATGGAGCTCTCATGCGTGTGAGGGGCTTCATACAGAAGCTGGCTCAGGGAGCTGCCTGCATGGCTGTGGCCAGTTACCACAGCGAGGAAGCCCAGCTTTGCAGATGGGGAGATGGAAGCACAGGCAGTTTGAGCCCCTTTTCAATGTCACCAAGCTACTAAACGAGGTCTGTCTGAATGTACCAAACGCCACAGATCTGGGAGGGAAAGAGGAGCAGAGAGGGAGGGAAAGCAGCCAGGAAGGATGGGGGGGGGGGGGCACATGACACGGACCAGAGCAGAGGAGCAGCCAAAAGCAGAAAAGTCGCACTAGGACTTGAGTATCTCCATGGACTCTCAGCCAGAGGGATGAGCCAGCATGTTTGTGACCTGCCATGAATTATATGACTTAAAGTTACTCAGAGACATCTGTATGCACTTCACTGATCAGCAAGTAATGAAGTAAATATATCAGTTTTTGAAAGCTCTGCTGTCTTGAACGTTATGCTCATTCATTTTCGCAAACACATGTTGCCACCTACTGTGTGCTGTCATAATAGATATTGAAGATTTAGAGACAAGCCTATAGAAAGCTGCCCAGGAAGGGACTGTTCTTCAGAGGGGATGACCAGACACTGGTCCCACCACCAGACAACAGTTGTTGAGGGCAGATTTGCCCGTCCAGGGTGGGGGAAGCAAAGGGCTTCTGGCCAGTGGCACAGCTGAGCCAGCCCCCCCCTCCCTGTGGTTTAGCCCTTTTGAAATCGGGGCGAGGGGCATCCTTTGGTAGACAGGAATGTGTCTTGATCCCTGCATGGATTCTGTGTTCTGGTAGGCTCTCAGTTACCCAGGGCCCCAGCTCTTAAATGCATATAGATGAAGGGTTACAAAGTAGCCTCCAAGCCAGAGAAAGAGGAGAAGGCTTATTGAGCTAGAGGCTCATTTAGTGTGAGCTCTAGAGCCAGACAGATCTGAGTTTAGGTCCCAGCTCTGTCACTTGATAGTGCTGGGGCTGGGTGAGTTCCTTCTCTGTCATCCTCATTTTCCTTACCTGGACCAAGCTGCACATCCAGCAGTTGCTCCGGGGTACAGTTGCCTTGTTCTGTCATCTAGTTTCATTTCCCTCCCCTGTGCCTATGCCCATCTTAACCGATCATTGGCTTTCTGCACAGCCCTGTGCTAAACACGAAGGCACTCCCAGTCTAAAGTATGGATAGATATGGGTAGCTGGGAGGTTGAATAAATGTGGCTTCTAGAATGTTATCATTAGAGTTTTTTTCCCCCCTCATTATTTCTTTTTTTTTTCTTTTTTTTTTCATTATTTCTTTATATTTTTTCTGGAGATTTCCATACTTCCCCTCTTCCTAGATTAAAACTGGCTCAGCCCTCAAAATTTGGGGGCCAGTCTTAGGTTAAAAAAGCCCAAAGATATGGTTGCCTTTGAGTCACAAAACAGTCTCAAGTCATTAATGAAAGGTCCAGTTGAAGGTAAAAATAGAATTCCAGAACCTGATTTAAGGTTGTGGCTTCTCCCCTCTTCCGGTTGGAATCTAGGACAGGTGAGAAACCTGCTGGCAGAGAAGAGGAACATGGGTGTGTGGTCTTCAATAGCTTGGGGGTGGGGCTGGGGGTGGAGGGGCCTTATAGGCAGAGACAGTTTAAGCAAAGTACGAAACCACACCACTTGCTTAGGAACTCCCATGCTATTTGATGTGGTTGAGAAATCATGGATCAAAGAGATAGTTCTGTCATCATGTCTTCACAGAAGTAACTCCCCTACCAGAGAGTGAGACCCTTGAGGGCAGGGAGCATGCACCCAGAATCCTCTGGGCCAGCTGTATGCCTGCTCTCCAAGTAGTGAGTTCTACATATTTTGTTGAATGGAAGAATGTTAATACTAGGCAAATGGATGTCTCTCTTTCATTTAGATTTTTATTGTTTTCTAATAATGGTGGAGGCTGGGAGATGGTGATTATTTCTTGGCCAAGTACTGGTTGTGCGTGGGGGGTGGGAGAACTCTCCTTATCACTGATGCTCAGGGGTTGACTTGGAGGTGGGAACGTTTACCCTCATTGTATGGTGGGCAGGCCTGGGTACCTCCCACAGACATCCTCCAGGAAGTTTGTTTTGAGGCAGAGAAAAGATTTCTCCCAAAGCAAAGGTTGTCAAGAATTAAGACCCAAACTTCCTCCCAACTTCCTGAAATGAACCTGTCCGTCTGTCCATCTTGCTTCCCTAGCAGATGGGGATTAATATGAATACTCAGGGCAAAACAAAACAAACTACCTTTGTTGAATGACGGGATGAAATTTGGCAGATTCAGTGTGAGGGAATGACCTTGTTAACAACGGGGTGGGTGATTGTAGTTCAAGGGAAACACCAAAGTTCAAGAATTGTGCCTTAGCAGGTTAAGAGCTACCTCTACCTCCATCTCTTAGCTGCTGCTGGGTGCTGCCAATACCATGAGGTCATAGCATGTCTGGAGACAGCGACTCTCTTCCCACCAACGTCTGGGAGCTACCTCATTCTCTTTGGGCTTTGAACAATGGTTGCATAAGACGAGCTTCATTAGACCTCTGAAACTGATGACAGTTCATAACTTTGAGATTGGTTGAGCCCACTAGCCCCTATGCCTGCCATTTTTAGCCACAAACCCAAAGCAGGCACCTCTAATTAGCAGTCTTACATATCCCATTGCCAAGTTGATGTGGGTTTCCTACCCCCAATGCTGACCTCACTCCCACCCTGTCCTTGATGTCGTCTGACAACCTTGCACCTTGCACATAGATTCCTCACTCTCCCAGCATTCCCAGCCTGTTCATTCCATGTGTATTTGCCCATGCTCTCCTCCTGTCTGCAGTGCCCTTCTTAGCTTACCTTATTAACCTAAAAAACATCTTTTCTCTGTCAAGATTGAGCTTGGACATTATGGCTATGAAGATATTCTTTGCTCCCCCTAGCATCGCATCTTCCAAGATTTTTTTCATGTTAACTACTGAATGCAAACCAATCAGATGACACTGGTTTCTTGAAAAAGGAATGCAATCTTAGACCAAATTAAGAAAGACATGGTATCAAGAAGAAGGTAGGTGAAAATCCTCCTTGTATCTTCTTTACTCAGATTATATCTAGAGCAGTGATTTTCTTTTTTTTTTAAGATTTTATTTATTTATTCATGAGAGACAGAGAGAGAGAGAGAGAGAGAGAGAGAGAGAGAGAGAGACGGAGACAGGCAGAGGAAGAAGCAGGCCTCATGCAGGGAGCCCAATGTGGGACTTGATCCCAGGATTCCAGGATCACACCTTGGCCCAAAGGCAGGGGCCAAACCATTGAGCCACTCAGGGATCCCCAAGAGCAGTGATTTTCAAGTGTGGTCCATGGCTTCTTGGGAATCCCCCCAAGCACCCTCATAGGATCCTCAAAGTCAAAACTACTTTCATAATAATACTAAAACTTCATCGTTCCCACTCTGCAAACATTTACACTGATGGTGCAAAAGCAATGATGAGTAAAACTGCTAGTACCTAAGCATGAATCAAGATAGGGCTTATCACCACCAGCTTACTCATGACGGGCTTATCACCACCAGCTTACTCATGACGGGCTTATCACCACCAGCTTACTCATGAATGTCCCTGATGGAATGGCAAAATTACTAATTTTGTTAAATCAAACCTTGAGTATAAAACAATTCTGTACGATGAGCTGAAAAGCACACATAAATCACCTGTATTGCACATACAAGCAGGACAGTTGTCTGGAGGAAAGCACACAATTATTTGAGATGTGAGCTAAACGAACTGCTTTTTATTCATGGAACACCATTTTTCTGCCGAAATAGTGACTGAGAAACTGGTTAGATCTGTCCTCTATCATGTTAATCATCCTTCATAGTTTCATTTCCTCTGCAATGTTGCCATTCATTCATTCATTCATTCATTCCTCAGATACTGAGCACCTCTTTTGTATCAAAAATTCCATCTATATCTCCATCTAGGTGAGATTAAGGTGGTTCAATATGCTCCCCCTATTGATCTGAAAGGTTTCTGGAAATGTGTGGAGAGATTTCATTTTAGGCACTCATGAAGACCCATGGGAATCCAGAAGTCTCTTTTATACCTTTTTTTAGGGAAAAAGTTTTTTTCCCTAAAATTTTCCTATTTATAGACATTAGCCCACATTTACACACAAATACATAACGTTTGTTGCTAGTAAGTCTGGCTGGAAAATGGCGAATCACTTCGAAAACACTTTTTTTTTTTCCTGACATTGTCACCTTTCTATTACCATAAATCTTTATAATCAAACTGGAGAGAGAAGAGGTCCAAGAGAAGAGGTCCAAGGGGCCAACTTGCCATGTCCGCCTCAGCTTGTAGCCCCCAGGCATGAAGGTAAATGAACATTCTCATCCTGTTCTTCGCCTTGGCTGCAGTGTTGATTTCATGCTCTCTCTGGCTTCGGATGCTAGGTCTTTCCCTTGTATACTTGGCTATGTCAGAAACCACTGCTTGAGGAAACTCACAACCCTTATGCACTGCTGGTGGGAATGCAAAATGGTGCAGCTGCTTTGGAAAAGTGTTTGGAAGTTTCTCAAAATGTTAAACATAGAGTTACCATATGACCCAGCAATTCCATGTATATATCCAAGGGGAAAGACATATGTTCACAGAAAAAACTTGTACACAAATGTTCATAGCTTTATTTATAATAGCCACACACACACAAAAAGGCAAACAACCCAATGTCCATCAACTGATGAATGAATGAATAAAATATAACATAGGCATACAGTAGAATATTATTTGGTGGGGATCCCTGGGTGGCGCAGCGGTTTGGCGCCTGCCTTTGGCCCAGGGCGCGATCCTGGAGACCCGGGATCAAGTCCCACGTCGGGCTCCCGGTGCATGGAGCCTGCTTCTGCCTCTGCCTGTCTCTGCCTCTCTCTCTCTCTGTAACTATCATAAATAAATAAAAATTAAAAAAGAAAGAGTTTCTTTAAAAAAAAAAAAGAATATTATTTGGTAATAAAAAACATGAAGTACTGATACACCTTGCAAAACAGATGAACCTTTAAAACGCTGTACTAGGGCAGCCCTGGTGGCGCAGGGGTTTAGCGCCGCCTGCAGCCTCGGGCATCATCCTGGGGTCCCCGGATTGAGTCCCACATCGGGCTTCCTGGTGGAACCTGCTTCTCCCTCTGCCTGTGTCTCTGCTTCTCTCTCTCTGTCTCTATGAATAAATAAATAAATAAATAAATAAATAAATAAATAAATAAATAAATAAATAAAACGCTGTACTAAGTGTAAGAAGCCAGTCACAAAAAGACAAGGATATATTGTACGATTCCATTTATATGAAATATCCGCGGTAGGAGGATCTATGGAGACAAGAAGTAAATTAGCCCAGGGCTGAGAGGGGCAGGTGTTGGCAGGAATGGGAATGACTGCCAATTGGTACAGGGTTTCTTCTTGGAATAAT